AAAATTGAAATTTATTAGATAATTATTAATTAAAAAATGTGACCACAAATTAAAAAAATAAATTGGATAAATTTGTCAATAAAATTAAAAAATTTTAATCCGCTAGCGGTTTGGTACAAAAAGTTACATAAACTAGCTTTTTCAATCTGCTAGTGGTTTGGACCTTAACCGCTATCCGCTAGTCTCAAACTGCTAAATAAAAATTTTACCAAACACTTTAATTGTAGCAGTTTCAAAATATATAAATTTACCAAACACCTATATTTAGTGATTTAGGTAAAACCGCTAACCGCTACCCCAAAATCGCTATACCAAACGGGCCCTTACAACAGTCTATGCTATAAATTGAGTCCCATCCACTGTCACACAAAATAAATCTCCCTATGAGTGTCTCTATGGTATTCTTCCTGCCAATGATTTTCTTAAAATTTTTGGTTGTACTTGTTTTGTTTTTTTACCTTCTCATGAACATCACAAGTTAGAGTCTCGAGCTCAACTTTATTGTTTTTTGGGGTATAGGATACAACATAAAGGTTATCGTTGTTGGGATCCAATATCACAAAAACTCTGTGTCTCTCGTCATGTTGTTTTTTGGGAACATACTATGTTTGCTTCTCTTTCTGAATTCAAGGTGTCTCCTTCTCATCAAACTCCTATCTTTACTAATACATCCCTTGAGTTGTTTCCTAGTGATGATGCAGGGTTTCCTGATGAGCTTTCAAACGATCAAACTACCATGGCTCCTATTTCAAAAGATGTCTCTTCTGTGGATACTACACCTACAACAAATGAGATTGAAAATTCACCAATTGCTTCCTCTTCTAGTCATCCTACTTGGGTAAGAAATCCACCTACATATCTTCAAGATTACCATTGTTTTTCTGCATTTACCTCTTTACATGAACCTCAGCAAGCTATGAAAGAGGAATTACAGGCTTTGGAAAAGACAAGTACTTGGGACTTGGTTGATCTTCCTACTGATGAGACTCTTGTTCGATGCAAGTGGGTATACAAGATCAAAACTCATTCTGATGGATTTGTGGAGCACTATAAGGCACACCTGGTGGCAAAGGGTTTTACACAAGAATATGACATTAACTATGAAGAGACCTTTGCTCCTATTGCTTGTCTGATCATAGTATGCAGTTTACTAGCTATTGCTACTGTACATAAATGAAAGTTGTTTCAGATGGATGTGAAGAATGCCTTTCTTAATGGTGATTTACAAAAGGAGGTTTATATGAAACCACCTCCTGGACTTACTCATCCTCCAAATAAGGTA